ACGGAGCGCCAAGCAGCGACCACCCAATCCTTGTCCAACTGTAAAAGCGTTATACGCGGCCGCTTGAGCGAGCCCCCCCCCCAACACAGCGATAGAAAAGAAACAGCAAAGAAAACACCGCACACGTCTGTTTGTTTGAAAGTTCAGCGCGCGACTAACGCGTCTAGGCCCCCAAGCCACAAGCAACAAATGGTGGCGACGCCGGCACCGGCTTCAGCTTCAGCTCCAGCTCCAATCGCGACTTCAAACGCGACTTCAACAGCGACTGCGACAAACGCGAAACCGCATAAAGCAATTCGCAAAAACTTCCAGAGGCTTACATAAAGTGAAATGCAAAATGGACATCAAAGAAATTTTGTACGCCAAATGGATGCCAAGGTGCGAGGGAGGACAGAGACAGATTGAGACAGAAAGATGCCCATTTGGTCCAGTAATTTCAAATAATGTAGAAAAATTTCCAAAGATTTATAAGGCAGGGAAATAGCGCCATAGCTAGAGCAAATCTTTCCCAAAAAGGGGGGTCCCGATTAATTGTTGAATTTTCAGAGAAATATGAACAATTAAGAACAATGATTTAGGGGTTTTCGGTATCTGTTTTATAGGAATATATTCCTACTTTTTAACCCTCAAAGAAAGGTATATTTTCCCTACATTAATCTCTTAATATTTCTAGAGCTAGTGCCAGATGCCAGCTGATTTTAGAATGATTTTTCTAGGTACAAATTTTTGTCGAAAATGAATTTCCCAAAATCAAATAAAAGCCAAATATTACCCCTAATTTCCATAAGACTTCCACCGACCAGCACTTTAATTCCAAATATAAATAAATCATAAATCAAACAATATCTGCACTCTTTGGGCCAATTAACCCTTTCTCTCCTACCTTTGTGCCCTCTTCGAATATGGCACTTGAAAAGAAAGGTTGCCGCACATCGCTGTTTGTAATTATGGACTTTGTCGCCGCGACTTTCGCGTCACACTTGGCCAACAGAAAAAGTAGTTTTTGTCGTTTTTGGCCTGGCCATTGACTGGCTGTCATATGAGAGTATGCAAAATATACTCGTACATGAAAAAAAAGAAAACTTTGGGTCTGATTACCTGTACAGACAAAGACAAAGACAAAGAACGAAAGAGCAGAGCAGCCACAGCTCATTAAAAGCCACGCTCCAGTTAGAGAACCTCTTGGGTTTGGGCTTGGACTGGGGCTGGGGCTGTAAAACCTTATCAAGTTTATGCAGATTAAACCCGAATAATTATGGCATTTTTTTATTGAATGGAAAAATACAAAACTTGACCTTAATTCGTGAAATCAAACATAAACCCAATTAACTCCCACAAAACCAGAGAAATCCATCAAATATATGATACCCAATTGATTCAAAAATGCTGTATGAAATTGTCATGCGGCAGACTCGGATTAATGGGAATTCGGGGACTTACATAAACCCCAAATACAATTGTTTAATTGCAGAAAGCGTCTTTTATTTCCGTGTACATCAATTTTCTGAATTTATTTGTATATTTTATGCCAAAAAAAAAATAAAAATAATCCAATACAAAATTTATTCGTAATTACCAGAAAACGAAATTCTCACGCTAGAAAATAAGTGTATTCAAACACGAAATTACACAAGCCCTAAGAGCCGCGGTACCAACAATTTATGCAATATTTTGGCTACGGTTTTAGCCAAGTTTTTTGTGTGCAAATAAGCCCACAACACAGCAGGGAGAAGAAATCTTTTGGTTAGTTATTTTATGTATTTTTATTTGGCTTGCATAAATTTTTCATGCGAATTAGGTTTGTGAAATATTTTTGCTGACAGTTCAATAAGGTTTTTTCCTGTATCTCAAATATTACAAAATTATGTTAATGTGTTTTCAGGGGTTTAGCATATTGGATTAATTAAGCGACAATATATTAAGTTGAAGAGGGAAATGTTTGATTTATTTGTGGGTAACATTTTAAGAGGGGAAAAGGAATAGAAGCTGGGAAAATACGACACGGTGGAGTGGTTCTCTATGCATGGGATATGTTCCCAAAAGAAGCCCTGAGTGATGCCTTGAGAATTTATTTTCAAAGAATCAGATGGCAGCAGTACAGATGTTGTATAGATTCTCCTCTGTAAAGAGCCACCACAAGATGATAGTTTCACACTACTGACACAATTTTCTCAAAGATAAATGACACTTCCATAGAAAGCATCTACGTACTGTCCAAACCCCGATCTTCAAAGCGTTTCCACCGACCACCAACGACGACAACAGCAATATTTCTTATCCGTCTTTAGGCCAGACTTGTGTGGGCCCCAAATGAATGGCAAAGTTATTGTTGTAATTTGTAATTGTAAATGGTAACGTTTCATTACATACGGGATGGCCATTGTACGAGTCGTAATGACTTTATGTACGACTTCGTTCGATTGTTTTGTTCGGTTTTCGGTGGGGGGTTACGCATGGCAGATACAGATATTGCGCGAAAGAAAAGTAAAAGTCTTTTCAGCGCAAAAATACTGAAAATGTGCGTGTTGGGTGTTTGATTTCTTGGGAGAGTCGGCCATTAACTTTTTGCTGCAGTTCAATTGTGAAATTATTAATAGTATGCAATGGCAAAAGACAAAGTCCATGATAGATTATGATGATGATACGATAATATTTTCAATCGCTGCTCCAATGACAGCCAAAGCGTGCCGTTAAATATCGAAAAATGAACAAAAAAGCAGGAGATTTGTCAATTAATTGAGTAAAAGCGTGAAAAATGGCCATTAAGAGCCCACACATTTCGACTGGCGACAGCGAAATCAATGAACTTGATGGGTGTTGTGTGTTGTGTGCCGAGTGTAGGCCATAAATTAGAGTGAAACCAGCCGTCAGATAATGGGCAAACATACAAGATACACACCCAAAGCAACCTAGCGAAAAAAGAGTTTGCGTGCGTTTCAAAGATTTTATTTTTTGAATACTCTTTAGAAAGGGGTTATGTACGAAGATAGGAGGCGTTGGCAAGAGGGTCTGTAATAGGTAGAAAGAAAGAACAAGTCAGTATTCGAATGGACTCACTTAACTTCAAAAATGAAGGAATAAAAGCCAGAGACATGGACTAATATTAAGGCCTATTTGACTGAGGCAACAACTGCCGTATAATCTGAGTGATCTTGCACCAAGAAGTATCATTACATTACGTATATCCCAACAAGAGTCTTCACTATTCGTTGCCATAGAAAACCTCACTTTCCCACAAACTTTTTCACATGCGGGCCCGGCCGGGAGCCACAATCACGCACAATCAAAACTAAATGACAACTTAATTGATCGACTCCCCCCAAATGGTGGATTGGTGTGAAAGCAATAAATAAAATTTGATAAAATAGTCAGACAGAGAGCCATGGCGGGGGCGCCCCAAGAAAGACGTTTGAGCACTTGCTGGGCCTGGCTTTTGGGTTCCCACAAAAACTGAAGAAGCAGGCATTAAAACATTTAACAAACAATTTAACTTCAAATAAGCCAAAACATTGCAGTGCTTAGCCAAAAGGGGCGTTGAGCGGAAGGTGGGGCAGGGGGCACGTTGGTGGAGTGCACACCAACGCCCAGAATAAAAAAGAAAAAAAAAACCGAGGCAGCGACGACAACTCGTTGAACATCAAAGCAAATTTTTTGTTAATGCGGCAACGCGTAGCGGCATAAACAAGCAGTGACATTTGTGAGCCGGCCCAGAGGGGGAGGGGGCACTGCTTGTGCGTGTGTGGGTCATTATGTAGAACCACTTGCCACAGCCACAGCCACAGTCACAGTCAGAGCCAGTGTGGGGGTCATGCACACGATTATGTAAGCAGCAGAGGGGCAACCCCATGAGTGCGAGATCGTTGCAAGAGTTGGGGCAAGAAGTTGGCGTTTTGCCGCTTAATTTACTCGCTACCCAACGGTCGAGTTGAGATTGAAAGATGTTAGAAGGTTATGATCATGGGATACAGGTGGGACTTTGGGAATAATAGTAAAAAAAACAGAGTTATGGATACCAATAAATTGGGAAAGTAGGTACATATCATACATGAAAATACCCAAAACCAAAGGCCTTTCCGGCTGGAAGTTCTCACTTCTGAACCTCTGTTCGGGTCCATTTAATGAATGCGTTTAAACCCCTAACACTGGGATCGAGGTCCGAACGATTTTATTCAAAGCCTTGAGTGATTGCAGGTGAGTAAGTATTCAAGTGTCAAGAAAAATGTGATTTTAGACAAGAAATTGTCGACTACTGCCATCAAAGGTAGAGACAAAATCTTCATAAATATGTATGTGTGTATTTCGCAGGTTTATTTCTAAGTGCCAGTGGCCAATGTATTGTTTGCAGTGCCTTCTTCCCAATACACACAGAAATTAAATAGCACTCGTCTCGCCAAACCCACTCTTAGGGAAGCAACAACTAAATAAAATACGACCAAATAAGTTAAACAAGTCGTATAGACGAGAGCCATAAAAAATAATCACCACACATTAATGTCACTCAGACCATCCCCAATGGAATATCAATATGCATACACACCTCAGCCCAGTGCAATATTGTGACTTTTCCATTTGAAAACTCACTCGCACAGGTGTCGAAACAGGGCCAACAGACAGACACGCGTGTGGCCGAGGCCTTTTATCCCCAAATGGCTAATTAGCTGCATTAATATTAATTACAAAAGTTGATCAACTCTTAAGCCCCAAAACTTTGTCCCCAGGAGTACGTTTTGCAAAAGTATTTTTTTTGTGGCACGTTCATTGTGTGATTGTGGGGCGGCTTTCGACAGACAAAGGGTACCAACAAAAATTATTTTGGACTTGAATTTCGTATGCTTTCACTTTGTTCGACCACGCCACAAAAAAAAAGAAATAGTACACCCAGAAAAAGGGGAAATAGGAAACAAATAATGGGGTTACAATCGATTGGAGGTGCTCCAATTGGGATTTGCCTTCGCCGCTGCGGCTGTAATTATTATAATGTTCGACCCTTTGACACTTACCTTCGGATATCTTAACAATCGGGGAGCTCTTAACGGATGTAATTTTTTTAAGATTAGCTTGTGGCGATGGTTGTTTGATTTGTGTTGCACTGGCGGCTTGCTTTGTGGCAGCTCCCTTGGTGTTGTTAAGAGCGCATGTTGCAGGCGGGGTGGCTGCCGTTGTGGTTCCATTTAAACGTTTCTCTGGAATGAACAAGACAAATGTTTTCATTTTAGCCAAGGAAAATTGTTGGATCGAAAGTTGTTGCCAACTTTTGGGCGGGGGGCTAAAAGTTGATAAGACCAAGAAAATGTTCACTTACGTGGGACAAAGGATACGATTCTTTTCCAACTTATTCCTTTTTTAGTTTTCTTAATAGGTTTATCGCGACCCAAAAATCTACGATATAGAGTAGCGAAACCCATGTTTCGAGTGTGATTTTGATTCTTTAGAACATCAAACGTGGCCAAAAATGGAAACGAAACAAGTTGAACGTCCGGTATGGCTATGGAATCGCACAAAGACCAAACATTTATGGGAATTTTATTTTTTTGCTGGTGCTAAATACACATTTGAATCTGTTGAGTTCTGAATTAACTGTGAAGTAACACAAGTCTGAATGTTATTTCAAGGCTTGCTGCGGAAACAAAATGATAATATTCGAAGCAAAAAATCTCTGGTTTCAGGCTATCAATGCACTTGAGCCGGCAAAAGGCAGGGAGCGCAGAAAAAGAACCAAGCGCGAGAAACTCTGAGCCAGAGTCGGTGTCGGAGCCTTAACCAGAGCGAGAGCCAGAGCCAGAGCCAGCCACAGCCCGATTCAGATGCAGAGTTACAGGCAACAGCATGTCATAATTTGACCAAATTAATGAAATCAAAAGAAAACCAGTTTCCGTTTTTAGCGTGCAACGTAAGGTGCAACCAAGGAGGAGGAACCAAGGAATGCATGCTAAAACAGAAACACCTGTTTTTGGACCAGATGGAGTGGCAAGTACCTGTGCCTCAGCATGGCAAGCAGTCGCTAAGCAGTTGCAGAGAACAGTGCTTATAAGCAGTTCGCGCTGAAATGTTGCCGAAGAGTGCTCAAGCAGTTTCATTAGAAGAGGAATTACAGACAGTTCTAAGCTCATGTGCAGGGAATCTCTCAACATACTATATACATATATGTACATAAACAGTTATATTGGAATTATCATGACAATTTAGATTGTCTTTGAGGCAGATAAGGCGCGTAGGATCAAAGCATTTCCAGCAATTTACAAGCAGTGTCTGTTAGTTGTTTGAGATTCAATGTTGCTAAAGAGTGGTAAAGCGGTTCGAACCGTTGGAAAGTTTTTGAAAGATCTATATCGGAGTGCTTCTAATTATAAAACAAGCAATCTGCCGACACGTAGTCAGGTTTCGCGGAATAATTATCATAAAACAATACAGGTTTTTCTTAATAATTTGCATTACAATGAGAGTATCTTTGCACAAGCGGCAAGTGTCTGAACCTGATATGCAGTGATAAAGCAGAATTCAAGCAGTAGACGCACTGAAATGTTGCCAGAGAGTGTTTGAAGAAACTTAAAGAGTTTAAATGTTGCCAGAGAGTATCCAAGCAGTAGATAAAATGTTGCAAAGCTTTTACTATGAGATCTCTCTCTTAATATTGAGTGAATTTCTCTCTTCTCTTTGTTCTGTCAGCTCTTTAGCTCTCTCTCTCTCTCTTTGTGTATATCTTATGACTTTAGCTCTCAGACGGTACAGATAGAGATACAGGTTTCTTTGAATAATTAGCATAATTTGCTGCTTTTGTTTTCTTTGGCTGCTGCACACAACTCGCTTTTGTCCACTGCCCAAAGCTGACCTCATGGCTTGTCCCAGCTGGACCCGGGATCCGAGACACGGGACCCCGTCTTGGACATCCACCCCGTACTCGTACATTGTTTTAGGTAATTTGTGCTCGTGCCTGGAGCCGAGCTTGTATTTCAATGCTAACCGCAAAAACAAGCCAGCGCCAGAAGCCATAAATGGCTAGTACAAGTCTAGGCGGCAAAAAGTACCAACTACAAACAATGAGAGTTTTTACGAGAACGTGAACGAGTATGCCCATGCCCATGCCGATGCCGATGCCGAAAAAAGAGTTTACAATGCCACGAATGCCAATGTCATCGACGGGGCTGGGTTGGGGCTTCAACAAAAAACACGACTAAAAAAAGAAGCAACCAACCAACGATTAAGAAGCGGCAGGCAGACAGGTTCAATGTCAGAGATCTTCCAACAGTAACGAGCTCTAATCGGGTAACGATTTTGCTTTCGTTTAAGAAACATACACACGCGTGGGCCAGCCATCGGTAAGCATTATCATTTACCAAGTGAAGTAACCGGATCCCACAGATTAATCCGTTCCCGTTCCCGATTCAAGTGCGTGGGTCGCCAAGTATCTCAGCGATACAAAGAGGTGAGAAAATGCCGACGATTCAATCGATCTTGCACAATTACGCCAATGAACATATCGCCAACCTGATGAGAGTAAGCGCCAGGTAGACGTGTGGGTTGGTCAACAGCGAAATGCTTTGAGTAGGTTTATTTCAGGCACGTTTGCCCCATAGAGGTGTCCGTCGAATACTGAAGAGTGCTCAGATTATGTGATCAAGAGCGATCACCCGGCGTGCAATTAGCGGGAATTACTTTTCTTTATGGGTGTGCTGATTGGGAGACACATAGGAGGAACAATGAACCCAGAAGAGATCCAACAATAGAACCCCCTCTTATCGTTTCACTTAGGGACTTATGATAGTGTCGAAGTTGTTTGCATTTATAGCACGTCTCGCAAACTTAACCGAAAGTTAATCAAGCCACGGAGAGATAAAACTCCATTTGTAAAGCTATTCCGGGAAGATCTACTCACCAAAGCATCGGTGGTTCAGTGGTAGAATGCTCGCCTGCCACGCGGGCGGCCCGGGTTCGATTCCCGGCCGATGCAAATAAGTTTTTTTGTTGAATTTTTTCAAGAAATATTAGAATATTGTTCAAAAATTACAATCACATTCCGCTTAAATGCTTTCAATCATTGCGAATCCTGCCTTCCATCAGATTCGTATCACCCCGAATCACCAAAAACCGAATGCGGTGCGAGCACTGTGGACAAAAATCAGCAAGTTTCGTTCGAAGCCTATGAAATTACTCGAAACATAATACAAAGTCGAGTGAGCGAGAAAAAAAACCAAAAATTATCGAATGACAATACCCGGATCATTCAGTCCGTTTTGGGCGAGTGATTCGATTTAATGAGAAAGCTGAGACGCTGATTCTAATTGAACGAACGAAGTGAATACCAAATCTTACCGAATCGATTCGGTTACCAGCTCATGCAACACTCTAATCGATATATTTGTTCCCTACCCTTAGGAGAAAACACCCTTCCACAAAAATAAGCATATAGTGGAGGATGTCCAGAAGATTGGCCTAAAGAAGTCTCACTACGTCCAAAGGGCTTATCATAGACCTCATAGGACCATTTCTTAATTATAAAAGTTGGCCTTTAAAAAAGATAATCTATATTCCCGTACGCTCTAACGATCGTAGCGTAATTTTTGTACATATTTCTTGGATTAACAATAATTCTCGCATCGGTGGTTCAATGGTAGAATGCCCGCCTCCCACGCGAGTGATCCGGGTTCGATTCCCGGCCGATGCATATTATATTTTTTTTTTTCTTTAGTGTAAAACTTCTGACTGATTTACAAGACCAACATTTAGTGAATATATTTTTAGTTCTCTACCCAGCAAAATCTTGCTTTTTCTAAGCCTTTTTTCATTGATGCTGCCTCTAATAAATCCGGTTATGTTTGCAATTGGCGAAGCTTCATCGAAGATCGAAAATTTTCCTCGTCGAGTGGAAAATTTTGGTTGATTTTCCCACAAGCATCGGTGGTTCAGTGGTAGAATGCTCGCCTGCCACGCGGGCGGCCCGGGTTCGATTCCCGGCCGATGCAAACCATCTTTTTTTTTTTTGTTGATCAATTTTGATAAATCTCTCAGGTCTTTAATTGCATGATATCTCGCATGTTGGCTGAATAAATCTTAATTAGTGGAAGAAATGCGAAATGCCAGCCGCGCAGCCTCGAGCGTGCATTCGAATATGCAAAACACGTTTCACCGTCGTTTTTTATTCGCTTTTGTGTGTTGTGTGTGTGTGAGTGTGTTTTTCCCCCGATGTGAAAATAACCCGATAAGCATGCGCATGCGAATACTCTTTGGAGCCGTGCATTCACTGGAGATCAGTGATCGGGCGACGGGGGTAAGGAGAGGACGGGCGAAGAGTAATTTTAAATTAGACAGAGTCTTTCGCATAAAAATAGAATTGCCTCAGGGCCCGACCCTACTTAGGGAGGAATACCACAACGACGACGACGACGACGACGAAGGAGGAGGAGGCAAGCATTCTCTTAACGACTTTCCAACTCTGCGACATTTCGAGCAATTTAACAGCCAGCATCTCGTCGAGGGGCGGCACACAATGGATTTCCCTATTAAAGCTAATTTATGCAAAGAGTCGCCAACATTTGCATGAGCCCCGCGCGCACGACTCTCTGTAAACAAAATAATAAAGATTGCAGCGAAAAGAGAAAAGAAAGCGAACAGAACACAAAAAAATTCGGCTGCATCGGCCGGGAATCGAACCCGGGCCGCCCGCGTGGCAGGCGAGCATTCTACCACTGAACCACCGATGCTTGTGGTGGCTCCAGGGCGTATACTATATATGGATGTGGGAGCCACTGTGGTTCTGTGGATTAAGCATAAATATTATATATTCATGCTTTTGAAATTCATGAATGAGGCCACAGAAATTCTATTATAGATTATGCCAAATATGTTTCATAAATCAGATAATGGAGTTGTGCCATGATAAATTAAACATGTGGCAATGATGAGGATCTGTATGACGAATACGATGACAGATGAGTACTTTATCATCTGTTTCACAGGCAAATCATTTGAAGAGTCAGACTTGATTGGTGGCAACAGTAAAATATACACATAAACGAGCCGCGGCAAGGGACGCGGCTCTACCCCAAACCCCTCTTCAACTACTGGGTGTAAGGCAATAAATCTAAAACATGTGCCAATGGAATGTTATCACAACAATTTAGATAAATAAAATTACGAATAAATACGAATATTTCCACAAGTGTGCTCCACATTCTTTCAAGAATTCTTTATTGCCTGTTCCATCCGATAACAATCATTATCATTAATTTCCCCATCAGAACTATGATTAATTATGCAACAAGACAGACCAACTCAGAGTCCATTAGTGCAGAAAAATTCCCAACCAAAGGGGAAGATATTCCCAATTCCAAGAAATATATTTTAGCTGTAGAATTAAGACATTGTAGCCCCACTGGTTCACTCCATGGCAGTCTGTCGATGATCTCTACAGCATTCGCACATCTGGCCAAATGGAAACACTGAAGCCTGAAGCCTGAAGCCCAGTGAAATATCATTACCTCGGGATGAGTCACGGGAATGAGTCAACGATGCCAAATTTGTGCACAATTTCCAGCACATTTTGCACAGATTACCTCTGGAGTTGAGGCTTTTGGGGACACCTCGGCTGGCAGCTGGCAGCAGGCAGCTGTTCCATGCCCCACACACGCCACAGATTTCGTTACTGTGGGAATCGGAATCGGTGGCTAAATTGTCTCTCTGGCCAGCTGCGCGAGAATAGCGGACGCTGAGATCTAAGACACGCCCTAAATTGAAATATAGCGGGCTCATGCTCATGCTGGTCTGGACACGACACTTTTATGGGTAGAGGCGGGCACGACACTGCACTGCAGATTCAGCAAACTCATCGAGGGCCAGGGCCAGGGCAACGGCAACCAGTTGAGCAACGTATCTCACCTGAGCCATGAATTCGCAGATAACTCTTCCTGGTGGAGGGGTAGAGGGCCAGAGGTAGACAAAAGTTGACACATTTCAAGTGGGATTTCACAGAAGCTGCAAACAGTCGTAGCAGGTGACGACTGTGAGGGGCCAGCCAGTGTTTTGATGGCAGTTTTAATGGCAGAATTTCACTTAAAATTTATTCTTTAAGAGCCAACGGGAAAGGGAAAAACCTAGGCCTAACGATAGCACATTTTCTAGGAAAATCTGTATCTGTAGGCACTTTATGAATTAGGCTTAGGCTTAGGCTTGAACTTTTAGATACCATCTTCAAATACTCAATGTGAAAACATTCTTGAGGGAATGGAAGTCTTCTTTAGACATCTGTCTATGAAGGAAATAGATTTTGTTCACACAGATGGACTATTTCGTCACACCCTTTGCTTATTACCATGTTCTCCTTGTTCAATAGTTTATGGGGTCAAAAAAGATTCATTCTGCCCTATCTAGATCTATAGTACTATCTAGTATCTAGTATCAGAGCACCCTTCAAAGGCACCACAATAAATGTTTTAGTAGAAACCAAAGCGGATTCCCCACCAAAGAGCAGAATATATGACCATCTCATCCATTACGTATACTCGTTCGTAATTTACATATCTTATAGTTTATAGACAATTCTTGCACTTACGTATCAATGTGGGCGTGGTCGTGGCAGAGGACTTGCCGCGTGTGGATTGTCCCTTGGCGGTCTGCTGGGTCTTTGGCGGCGGGCCCAGATCGGTCGGCGATATGCTCAGATTGCGCACATCACGCTTTTTGGCAGCTCCTGCGAATGACAAACGACACAAGAGACGTATGAGTCGAGGGTGTGAACAAAATACAAAAATATGAAAAAAATACCAAGTAAAATACTTTTGTGTCTCTGGAAGCAATCAATATGTGGATGATGATGATGATGGTATATAATTTATGCGGGAACACGTCGCCAGGCAACGCGAAGCTTTGAAGTGTTTGCTTTTTTGCCTGGGTTGGGTTTTGAAAGGAGAGTTATGTACATATGTATGTATGTTCCCCCATTTAATAACTCCGAGCAGAAACAACACACTCTTCAAATTTCCTAAATTGTTTTCCTCCTCTTGCCAGCTGGGGGTCCTCGGCCTCCCTCCCCCCCTTTTTGGGGGCTATTTGCATTTCCAATGTTTTGTGGATTAAAACAAAGCGTTTCCATAATTGAAGTGTCTGCAGCCCAGAGGCTTCCCCTTGCTCTGCAGCTGATAGAACTTGTTGGCTAAACATGCATGAAAAAAGGGTGAAATTGTATTATGCGAGTGCATGAATCTATTAAGTATCCCCTCAGAGGGTGGGGGGCTCTCAGCTGCAGGGAATTGAATATCACTTGAAGACCAGAGGGCTCTGGGCTCTCAGGGCACTTGAAAGAATGATTTCTAGTTTTCTAGGGGGGAAATAGGAAATAGGAAATAGAGAACTGTTTCCAAGAAGTCTGGCAAAAAGTATGAATGCAACAAAGATACTCGTATTACAGATGGTATATTAGGTTTTTAGGTCTTGTAGAAATGAATGAATGAGAGATATTTACTAATTTACTGAAGGAACACTCTCAAAGAGCTCCGTTTTTAAAGTCTCTATGTAATTCTTAAATTCCATTGCTTTGATTTATCTTGCCACCTTTAATTATCTTGCATCTCCACGCAATGATACCTGTGCCACAACAATCTATCATATTTTATTCGGATCGTATCGCCACACCGCAATAATCAAGTTCGATTCAAGTTCACGCCGGGTTGCCACCCCGTTAACGAGGTTTCATTGTTCCCCCCTGCCACAGGCCCAGACCTCGCACTTGTTAGACATAATTTGTGGCTGCTTTGGGGCACAACAAGGCGGGGCAATCAGCCAGGGAGCCAACAGAAATGCAGGCAGCGGCAGCGGCAGCTGCAGGGAAAACCTAATAAATTGTATTTTTAGCTGTCGGCTAATTGTGCTGGACATGGACAGGGAAATAGGGAAACAGGGAAACAGAGAAATAAAAGTTGCATGCCCAGCTTAGGCCGGAATGGAAAACTTTTATCTGCCGCTGTGCGAAACGAGAGAGCATTGCGACGAGTCACGTAATCCTTATGGGGGCTTTTATCAGCAACGATAAGCCATGCCACAGCCACAGACAGCATGTGGCATGCGATATATATTTTTATAGTGGCCGAAAGGACAAACTTTCGCAGCGATTCAGGGAATTTACATTTGAATTTGGCGATTAAATAAAAGTGTTGTTGGGATTTTTGGATAATTTTAAATAATTTTTGTGAACCAGGGAGGACTTTTGGGCCATTATAAGATTAAAACCACTTTAATCGTGTGGGCTCACTCCATTACAACCCAGTACCAGTCCACCGACCCCTCCCCCCCACTCACCTTTCGTCTGGGCCTTGGAGGAGCGCTTCCCAAAGCTGCCAAAGCGCTCCCGCTCGATCATCTGCGAGTGGATGTAGCGCTCGGAATAGGAGCGCGACAGTTTCTCCTTGGAGCTGTGTGCACCCATTTTTCCAGCCTCACGGAGTGTGTGTATTTTCAACGAGTATGCGGTGTGTATTGTCTGATCGATATCACGATTTCAGATTTCACTTTCACAGGCTCTCGAATGCATCAACGATTGTCTACGGGGCTACACCCGCGCACAGCACAATCTCCAGACGATGGCGGTAGATTTAATTTGATGTTGCCGTTGACAATTGCCGCTTGAATGCATTTTGTGTGGACTTTTTTCCTTACATTTTTTTTTTACATTTTTTTTTTTGTATTTTTTTGCTCTGTGATTAACACAAGGTTGACATTTTGAATGGTTGAAGTTTAAGTTGGGTAAAGTACTCGTATTTTCCTTTTTGTTTGGCGGTGACATTGGATGGATTTATAATGGTTAGATTTAATTGCCGTTCACTTGGGGGTCCCATTAACCGATTCAATTAGCCGCCTCATTAAGCCGTCTCTTTCCCCATGCATCGTGGCCTTTTCCCACCCACAAATGCGTTTGTGGATTTTAATTAAATTATTTTTAATGGCGCCCAACATCCATGGGTTGCTGCTCCATTTTTATGGCATTTTCCACATTCGGAGAATGCCGCGTGAAAATGTTTTGATGGTGCCAACAACCTAGACACACAAATCAGAAATAGCCAAAACTATTTTGTATTTAATGGAGCATGATCCCCCGCCCCAGAGTCCCCCCTATATATGTATATATCTATATTTTTCGAGTGCAAAACTAAATGTTGGATTAACTGCCGGCTAAATTTCGCAACGAGAATGATAAATGGCCTGCGAGAAGACACTTGTGCGACCTCAATTTCCGATGCACAGAGAAATACATGCATGTCTTAGGAGAGCAGGTGCTTGGCATGGCGATTGCCACACAATCCATATGAATCTCCAAGTGAGTGGAGAAAAAGTGCCACCAGGGAGCGATCCACCTCCTCCACATACCTCTCATTCTTGGAACGGCAGCCGCTGACAGGTTTGAATGTCATCATAACTTAACAAAAGCAAGCCAAAATGAAACCTGAAACGAAATGAGCTGACAAATTGCACGCCGTGATTTGTGGCCCAGCATTTGAATGTGGAACACTGCCTCGCACGAAAAAGAGCCACACATTTCCCAGCTGGTTGGAAAACAACACAAAAAAAAGCAGAGGGAAATTTATGCCCCAGCCCGAGATATGAATAATTAGTGGTTAAGGAATAAATCAACTTCAGTCTTGCATCAGAGATTGTAACAGTGGAAAAGAGCAACGCTGGTTGGTCGGATGCTAACTAATCTGTTCCTTAGGCAGAGCACTACATATATGACAGAGTAGACCCATGCTTGAATAATCTCAAAAACATGTAAAACTACAGCTAGGATTCATGGGATTATCGTAAACAAAGCCCAAGTAATAATTCTTAAAGGGGTTTTTATGCCGTTTTGGTAAAGGCATTACCCAAATATCCCACAGAAAATATAAACAAATAAAGCCAGAAACAAGCTAAACAGTACAGCAGAAAGAACAGATCAACAAAAAAAAAAAATAGCGATAATGTGCGTGTGAGCAGGTCGCAAGAGTCATGAACAACGAAAAGCACATCGATCATAGTCATCCGCTTTGTTTCTTCATCTGGAATTCGAATACAAGCCAAATATTAAATACACCGCTCATCCGAAAGTGCTGATTCAAACATGAGTCAGACGGTATGTGCCACTGCTTGAAATTAAGCCACCGCCAGAACCCATGAACGTCCTCTTTCTGAAGTGCTTTCGTAAGTGCTTTTCAGGCCAATAGGAAGTTCTAGGTTCTAGGTTACGTGCCCATTCTGTGTAGGGTTCTGAGTGATCGTCTTATCACATTACCGATGAATTAGTGGATCCTATCCCGCGCTAAATTGATAGTCAGGCAAACCAATAAAGATCATCGCCCCAACAGTCGCCAACAATCCATCACATCCATACACGTGAATACTCTGGGAGTACGGGGTATAAATATCCCACTGTGCTGTTCCGTTTGGCAGACGAAGCAACCTCAATGCTATGAATAGCAGCGGCGCCCTCTTTAGTCACAGCATGTCAGAGCCATCGGGACAGTCGAAACAGTTGGGATAGTCGGGACAGTCCGGGCCAGGCAGTCTCTCCGTCTGTCTGTGAGGCAGAGGCTGGCCTGCAAATGTCAGGCGATCAGGCGAACTATAATTAGCCCCCAAAATGCAACACGAAAAGGTGTCAAATGTTTAGCTGTGCAGCGAGATTCTCGGAGGGAGACTTTATTGTTTCGTTGGCTCTAAATTAGGTCCCAGTCATTCGGAGGACCTGGCGAGCATAATTCACACACGACTGAGCCCCACGATTCAATAGCAAATGTCAGACCTCGAGTGCCGGAAGGGAAGTCATTCGAAACGGAAGTTGGGGATATTCCAAACCTCAAGGGCAACTCGATGAACTTTCGGATGGAACTCCGACTGCGACTGCCACTGGCAGCCCAGTCTGATGAACCGAAAGTTGAGGAGGCAATTGCTTGGGGCTGCGTTTAATTTAATATGCAAAAATTGAATTTGACTTTCAATTAAAAGTTGGCCTCTGCCTCTGCCGCCGCGTGGGCGTGGCGTGTGCACATTTTTCATTGGAAAGCTCTCCCACTCTCTCCCCCTCTTTCTGCTCCTTGCAGGTGGGTGAAAAGCAGCGGAAGCTGCAAAAGCAATTAATCGAAAGAGACAGTGCCCAAAGGAGAAGTTCCTCCAGCCAGCACGACGACAGCAAAAGAGGAGGTGAGCATAAATATACATAATTTAAATGGCAACAGGACCAAGTGGCAAGTACCAAGTGGCAAGAGCAAGCCAAGATGGGGCACACAAGGCGGTTATTATGTAAATTAAATGAGGAAAAATCACAGTAACAGGTTTAGTGGTAAAAAAAATGGAATACTTAATATTTTTAAAATTAAAAGAAAGAACCAGAAAAGACTATGGTTTTCCAAGATGAAAGAACAAGCTTTAATTGAGGTAATTGTTAGATATGATGACAATTTTAAGCAGGTGTGATATAGTGTGAATATATCGCATAAAGAAAGCTTGAATTCTGGTTCGAAACGTCTGTAAATTTCTTTCATTTTGAATTCCCCTGAATTTATTCCGCTTTCAAAAGACGTTGCACTTTAAAACGCTCTTTAAAACCCAAACCATTCAATCTCCCTCGCCTCATTTAAGCACAAATTCAACTAGTATAATCCCACTGATTAAGCAAATTGAAGCAAATCCCAAAGAGCTATTTTTTATGGCTTCACACTATCC